AGTGTCTTCTAAAATCTATTGGTTAGTTTATAGGTTTTAAAAATTTCTCTATAAATGGCATCTTGCTATACTGAAGCTGCTTGTGTATTTTGCTCAATAGTATTTGTGTCTTCCATCCCTGTTGGGACTCACACCTAAAGTTCATTTATCTTTTTTTTTTTAAAGATTTTATTTATTTGACAGAGAGAGTAACAGCGAGAGAGGGAACACAAGTAGGGGGAGTGGGAGAGGAAGAAGCAGGCTTCCCGCCAAGCAGGGAGCCCGATGCGGGGCTCGATCCCAGGACTCCAGGATCATGACCTGAGTTGAAGGCAGACACTTAATGACTGAGCCACCTGGGTGCCCCTAAAGTTCATTTATCTTAACAGTTGTGTGCTTTTCCATAATATGAATATACCACAGATTCTGAATCCATCTTGCTGTTGTTTTCAGTTTTTTTGCTCTCAAGAATAGTGCTAGAGTGAATGTTTTGTTCATGTCTTCTGATGCACATGAGCAAAAGGTAAGAACAGAAGGAATCTGTGATCCATTTTTTGTTCTTTAAGATGTATGTATTTTAAAGAGAGAGAGAGAGTGTACAAGCAGAGAGAAGGCTGAGGAGAGGGAGATAGAGACTCCTCAAGCAGACTCCCCACTGAACTGAGCACGGAGCCTGACGTGGGGCTCAATCCCAGGGCCCTGAGATCATGATCTGAGCAGAAACCAAGAGTCAGCCACTCAACCAACTGAGCCACCCAGGTGTCCCAGGAATCTGTGAACTTTTTGCCCAGAGCTACTCCCAACCTCCCTGCCAACCCTGACCTGAGAATGGCAGCAGAAACCAGTTTTCCTGCTAGAGGTGGTAGGCTCAATTTGGAATAGGAGCAGAGGGCTAAAGACCCTGGTTTCTACAATGTAAAGCATGGGTTTAGTTTAGAAAAAATGGGGGGAAACTCACAGCTTTGCAAGCCTGAGGCTGCAGTCCAAGTTTGGGTAACTGGTAGATGAGCAGCATTTCACAGAAAAATCCTAGCAATTAGAGAGCCGTGGAAGGTCTGAGATAGCTCTCCACATATCTCCAGCTTGCTGAGGAGCTATGCATGCATGGAGGAGACCTTGAGAAAGTCTTCCTACACTAGCTTGATTTTTGAAAACGATGTTAAAAAGCAATACTCCTCATATTATTGGATTTCAAGGACATGTTTTAAATTTTAATTATTAAATATAAAGTCTGTATTTTAGAAGCTTTTAAAAATATCAGAGACAAAGTTTTATAAGGTTTTATATTATTTTGTGGAAGGGTGAAGTTATTAACTTCATTGTTATCTACTATTGATTATGCATTTAAAATTTTCTAATTAATCACGAAAATGAAAGGAATAAAGAGTAAATATTTCAAACCACCAAGGAAATGAATTGCAATGGAAAAAAGAAACAACTCATGCAGTAAAAATGAAGGCAAGAAAAGTGGGAAAATGGAAATAGTAGATTAAGCTTTAATTTTAATAATTTTTATCATGAATAGATACTGAATTTTCTGGAATGCTTTCTGTATCTCTTGAGATCTTAGATTTTTATCTTTTGATCCTTAATAAGGTAAGTTGCATTAACAGAATTTTTAAATGTAGAATCAAGGGGCGCCTGGGTGGCTCAGTTGTTAAGCGTCTGCCTTTGGCTCAGGTCATGATCTCAGGGTCCTGGGATTGAGCCTCGCATCAGGCTCCCTGCTCAGCAGGAGTCTGCTTCTCCCTCTCCCACTCCCCCTGCTTGTGTTCCCTCTCTCGCTGTGTCTCTCTCTGTCAAATAAATAAAAATCTTAAAAATAAATAAATAAATGTAGAATCAAATTTGCATTTCTAGTGTAAACCCAGTGTGGTAGTCAATTCAGTCTGCAAACCCAGGACTCCAGCAAAGGTAAGCAGATGCCCTCCAGAGAGATTCTATCTCCAAAGTTTCCTTATCTCTCTCAATTTCTGTTTGATCTTTATTTGGATAAGTTCTGAGGGTATCAGCTTTTCTCTTTCTTTCTTTCTTTCTTTCTTTCTTTCTTTCTTTCTTTCTTCCTTCCTTTCTTCTTTTTTTGTTGAAAGCAACATGCTTTTTAATATTTGTTACAAGCAAGGAGACAGGGAGATAGTTCTAGAAGCACTGTCTCTGTCAATTTCTTGTTAGCAATATTCCACCCCACATTTTTAGTTGTTTTTACCATGAGATATTTCTTTAAGTTTATCTAGTTCACCACTGCATTGGAAATAGAAACCAAACATGCAATGTTATAAATAAAATAAATTTGGCAGTAGTTGCTTTACTTAAAATGTGTGTACTCTACACAACTACCCCTTGGAAATGATATTATCAAAATGATCTATGGTTTTAATTTGCTAAAACCAGGCTGTCTGTATTCAAATCTTGGTTCTATCTTTTCCAATGATAGGACTCAGATATTATTCCTCAATTCCAGAAATGTACATTGAGAATTTTATATGCACCTAAAGTTTACTGTCCCTGTGCAACAAAATCTTCAAAAGAGCACAGTGCCAGAAAGTTTATTAGGAAGGGAGCATTTTTAGTCCCTAAGCCAATTCTGACAGAGTTTTCTTTCACCAGTTTATGACAAATGGGTTCCAGGTGATAGGTTGATGTTTGCGGTTTATTGTTGTTTCTTTTAGTTAAAACTTTCTTGGAAGAGAGAGTGTTTTGGTCAATTGGATTTTTGGGTTCATTGAAGATGAATACTTTTTTTCAAAAATTTTTGAAAGAGTATAATAGGAGGTGCTAGTGTGCAGTGGGAAAAACGTTGGGTAAAGAATCAGAATAGTTTTGACTCTAGTGCTTAGAAGTTGTGTGATCCTTTATACATGTGTATAAAGCAAGGGTAATCATTTCTAGTCAGGAAGGTTGTTGCAGGAGGATGGATAATCCATGTAAAATGCCTGGCACACAGGAGGGATCTCAGGTCTTGCTTGCCTCTTCTCTGCCTTCCATCGCTGAAAATATATATATTTATTTGTTTTCCTTTCTGAATAAATACATTCAAAGTGGAGTTTAAGTATTCATTCATTCATTCATTCATTCAAAACTATACTCATTAAATAATTTTAAAGCACCTACACTCTGCCAGGGACATGTTAGCTCTGAGAAAATGATAACAATAAGATACATATTGTTCCTGTTTTCAAAGAGCTTATGGGTTAGGGATTTATGTCTTATAGTGTTTCAGGGTCAATATCTTGAGGATAATTTGTCCCTAGAGAAGGGTAATTCCAGGCATCTGAAGTCTCCAGTTAGATGGGTTTGACAATATTTCAGTATTGCCATCTGGGTCTTGTGTTGTGTTATGTTCTTTATCGAGTGACAACAATGTATTACAAAGGCCCTCTGTAATGGCCAGGACTAGCTACATAATTGCAGGGCCCCATGCAAAATAAAAATGAGGCCCCTGGCTCAAAAATTTTTAAGAATTTCGAAATGATGATAGTAGAGGATTTAATTAAGCACAAGGCCATTCTGAGTGGGGGGGAGGGGGGCATGTGACTATAGGACGTGGCCCTCGTCATGGCTGTATGGAGCTACCAAAGCCTGGGAAAAGATTTCTTTTCAACTAAGATCAGACTTATGGGAAAATGTGAGTTACAGAGTCAGATGAAGACATGAGAATGGTATTTCTTTTATTTCTAATAGCAGAGGTGGAGGAAATAATGTGACTCACTAAGTAGTTATTTCATTAAACAAATATTTACTGAGTGCCTCTTATATGCTCAACACTGTGGTAGGAGCTGAGGATATACTGGAAAACACAACAGACCATGTCCTAACTTTTATGGACCATAGGCTACCCATGTGGAAAACAGAAAAAAGGAATAAGTAAATATCACTGATTATGGACTAGTGATACCACATCGAAGGCACTAGACTGGGCCCTCATCGGGAAAGACAGGACAGAGGACGTTACTTGTAGTGGTCAAGGAGGGCCTCCTTGTGCGGCTACCTACCATAAGGCTTTCGAGCACTGCATTTGGAGAGAAACAGTCAATTCTAGCTCCTTCACTTACTAGTTATGGGATTTGGGGCAAAGTCACATAAGTGTCTTCTGCCTCGGTTTTCTTACGTAAATGAGAATAACAATAGTATATACCTTATAAGGTCCATGTGAAAATTAAATTAAGTGAGTTAATTAAGTGCTGTTTTTCAAGTTAAAGTTAAGCAACAGACTTCCCAGGCAAGGAGGAATCGGCCTTGCAGAGAGCTGTGAGGAGAATCTCTGGCTGAAGAAACAGTCATTGCAAAGGTTCTGGGGTATTTCAAGAACTTGCCAGAGACCTCTGTGCAGGGAGTAGAGCACGGGAGAGACACAGGGCTATGGACGGGAGCGTGACGGGGGGCAGGGGCCAGATTTGGAATTAGGAAGCTAATTTCCTGCACAAAAGATAATGACTGATACTAATTCACATACCTTGTAAACCAAATCGACTCATTTATTTGAATCAGAAAACATATCAGAAATAGCTGAAGCTAGCTTCCCAATTGTTTCCTTTAATGGCTGATTACAAATTATTTTTTTCCAACGCATGAGTAGACCGGTCACCAAAAGAAATAACTTAGGAACATTGAAAAAAACACACCCAAATCTCTGACACAGGGTGTTACATTCCTAATGCAACACAAAAGCCACTTGCAAAGCCTAAAACACAGGCTCCAAAGCACTTCTAGAAATGAACAGGAGGTCACTCTGCCACGTAAAGTTTTGTCACCATTTTATCGTCCCCTCCTTCATGTTCAGGTCACTGCCACCCACGGACACAGACTTTTGCAGCCCATGTGATATAAGCAGAGCAGAATTTCTACCAGATAAACCAACTTTGTTAGCGATAATCAAAAGTTGGCCAAATTTCAGATACCACCAAAGGCTTGTGTATTTCATCAAAGGAGAAATCTAGGGGGTGTGGGGAAAGAAAGCCAAAATCCTAGAGGAGGAGTTAAGAAAGAAGGAGGTGGCAGTTAGGCTTCATAAACAACTCTACCTTGTGCAGCTAACTCTTTCCACCTCTCTTTGTTCTGCTGGATGATGTCCACCAGGTTGTTTTTGAAGCTCTGTAGGTCTACGCTTGTCAGGGAGTAGTCTGGGGAATAGGTTCCGTCGTTCACGGTGCCTTTCATATTTGATCGTCTAAACAAATCAACGCTGTGAACACAAGAAAGGTGCTGAAGCTAATAGTCACAATGAAAAAAAAAAAGCCCCCAAAACACAAAGGTCAAGATATGAAATGAGGGAGCAAAGCCTGAAACACTTTACAAAACCAAACGCTGACCCAGAAAGGCAAGTGCTCAGGCCTAGTTTGGAGGGTGCGTCCGGGCTGCTCACGTCCCTCCTTTTCTCCTCTCAGGGAGAGGGCAGGGACTCTGGCTGGAAGTCCCTGGGTCGGTCAAGGACTCCCAGAGCAGCAGGTTGGAGCACTCTTGCATCATGGGGTGGCTAGGCCTGATTAGAACAGTGGAAACTTGAGGTGAGCTGACTTAGCAGTGAATCCATTGGTGGACATAGCTGACTTAGCAGTGAATCCATTGGTGAACATCAATAAAGGGGCATCACGATTCTGGAGCCCTAAGTGGGGGCTCCCCCGAATCTTTCTCGGGTAGAACATTTCCTCAGTGTCCTCACTGGGGCCCCATGTAGAGAGTCTGTTGGTGTGCCACTAGCAAAAGTTGTGTGTTCAGATGGACAAGAATTTAAGCATGACTAGTTTCAACTGGAAGCTTTAAATAATATGCCTTAACAAATTTATTGATGAAAAGTGTTCAGCTTGAAATACTGTAAGTGATTGTATATATAATGGATGTTACTGTTACATGTTATACACATCTGTTGTACCCACATCAGCTACAAGCCTTCTTTTGGTATAGGATTCTCCCCAGATGTACAAGTGGGTTGTAATTGGTTTGTTTGTAAGCAAACTGACACAACTAGATATGTTAATATCCAAGGCATAACACATGCATTTGCATGAAAATTCAGATATTTTCATTCTCCTGAGTATTGAATACTCTTGTTATACTCATTAGATACACTTTGCAGTGGGCATCAAGTGAATTTCAAAGGCAGATGCAATATCACACCTAGCCACTAGGTGGAAATACTACCTAATAATTCTTTTAAGAACGTCCTGCCCTGCTGTAAGAGATAATAAGATAATCTTAAGTAAAAGGTTATTAAACAACACAAAGATAAAAAAGGATGCAAAAAGGGAGAAAATATCAAACCTGCTTGCCCCATAGGAAGAAGTGTCTGTCTTTGAGGCTTCCTCTATAAGAGGAGTAATAATTTTCTCTGTTGAGTCTGTCAGAAGAGAAAATGTTGGCTCTACTATGAAATCAATGAAACCTACAAAAGCAAAAAAATATATATATTTATAAATTGAAACATTACAATTTCTTGAATTCTAAAATCTGTAATAATGAAGAGTCTGACGCACCTGATAGTAATTATCAGCTACAACACTGGTTCAGCTTACCCTGTGCAATTATTTTCAATCTAATAACAATCTTTTTTTTTAAATTCTAATAACATAATCTTTAGAGATAGTTTAATAGCTCTATGAAATAATCTCCCAAGTAGTGGAAGTGATCCAATTTTAAGCCTGATAACTCGTGTATATTGGCTTTCCTATTTAATATTCAGTTTTATACTCTTGTTAACAATAAATTCAAATCTAACCAGAGTGAATATAATTTCCTCTCTCAGTGAGAGGGATCATTACTTTTCTGAAAGGTCTCCACTTGCTTTTCGAATTTATTACTAATCAACAAAAAATAATATCTAAGCTTCAAAGAAACGAAATAATTGAAGTTTTTTCTCAGGCCACAGGAAGGCAACCGCTTTTTCCCCCTTACTGTATCAGTCAGAGCTTTCTGCCAGTGTGTTAATATTTCAAATTGCTGTTTATTATTCTCTGGATGTAAAGTGTTAGTTCACAGCCTGTGGGTGTGTTCTGTCAAATCAGTGAAGAGAACAGTAACATCTCTGGGAGACAGCATTATTCCCACCACCTTGAGATGTCAGGATGAATAACAACTTTAAATGTAAAGTACTCATCAAGATAGAAAATGACACATAGAGAGGAGGGGGCACTGTCCTCTAGGGAGCCCTTCCCCCGTGGTGTTTAGGTGGAGGAGACAACCTATTGCGCACTCTGTACACACTTCAACACTAAAAGTCCCTGGAGAGGTGTGCCCCTGGAAATCAAGTGCTTGTGGCCTCACACCTGGGAGCTATGAACGACCGTCCAAATATAAGAGGAAACTGGAGGGAGGCTTTTTAAGTGCTACTGTGCCCAGAAATATCCACATTTGAAGAATATCCCATCCATCAGATACAAATAATTCACATTTCAAGTAACTGGATTAGTAATATTATACATTAGGGTGCCTTTTTTTTTAAGAGAGGGCGAGAGGGTGGGGGAGGGGCAGAGGGAGAGACAGAATCCCAAGCAGGCTCCACACCTGGTTGGAGCCCACACGGGGCTCAGGGCTTGATCTCACAACCCTGAAATCACGCCCCCCCCGCCCCGGAAATCAGAGCCGGACATGTAAATGCGGCCCCTAAGGTGCAATTTTAATTCAGGAAAACTTCAATAGTTTTGTGTTTTAATTGATGCCTTCGACTCAAAGCAATGTTAATTGGCTACCGGTGTGCTACTTCCGTTCTGTCTGTGGTTTTAAATGCCTGGGATATGGAGCCTCGCAAATGATGTGTCACCTCCACTAACAGGATAGCAATTTATATTATGGCAACAAGCCTCAGAAACTTCCCTTCTTTCCAGCTTGCCTGAGGAGGTTCTTACCCTGTCACATTCACACCTGCTAAACAATGGTAGGCACCTGTGTTATGGTAGCTAGAAAAATAGCTTTTGGAACTTGGATGGGAAGGGGCAAACGTCAGAGCAAGAAGCTTTCTGACAGTTGACTGCTGCTTTGTAGGACTTGGTACGGAAGCAGCTAGAGAGGTTAGGCGGGCATCCTTATGTTTATTAATCTTACAGCGCAGTCATAAAGATGCTGGCTCTGGGAATAACCATTACAAATATTTGGACCATGCAGCATAGCAACAATATGTTTTAATAATGGGCTGAACTTGCCGGCTTATCTACTTATATCAAAAGAATTTTTTTCTGAAGGAATATAAGCTACTGTATTAAATATATATTGCAAACTTAGTGATAACACAGATATATTAATATTTTCATTACATTGTCCTACATACAAAGGATTGAATTACAGATTACAATCGTCAGCAACAAAACACAAAAAATGCTATCTCTTACACAAGAAGAAAGTCCATTATTTGTAAAGGGGTTACAAGTCAAATAACAATTACATTTACTAATACGCTGATTGAATTACATTTTGTGAGAATTTTTCCAAAATTCTTATCATTCAGCACCATATACATCAGTCTGAAGATCAAATTTATTATGAATATGAAGTGAGGTTTTCATGGATGTTGCCCCTTTGAACAACATGGTTTATCCATTTGAAAACTGGCTCACACACACCCACCCTCCATAACCACCATTCCTGAGTAGTACCTATTTGTGACTGGGCCACCATCGTTGACTTCCGATCACAAAGTGGGGAAAATGGAAGTCCTAATTCAGCTTCTTTATCTCCCTGTGAAAGGAAAGCTCATTAGTACAGACTTGGGTTGGAGACGCTTAGATAATGAGCAGTCTAGATACAAAGTCTAAAAAAAACCCACATCTTTATTTTAATTGGCACTGTGTTTTTATTTATTTAATTTTTATAAAACCAAAGGTATAGTCCAAGTTGATGTAACTTTACTCAGTCTCCCTTTTGAGGACATATATGTTGCTGAAGAAAAAAAAATGAGCATTTTCAGCAAGTGGAGACTCTACTTTGGCATTACAACCCCTTTACTATGAAGAGACAAATCTTTGCTCTTTGGAATTTTCAGCAGCTACCATAAAATAGTCATCTCTGTGTGTTATTTCACATTTAATTAACACTCAAGCTCGTGGATTTTTATGCTCTTTTTTTCCCCCATGCCAAGTACATCACACAGATCTTCAAGTATCAAGACTTCATGATTGTACTGCTTTTTGAAATTAAAAGTATATAAACATTTTGAAACATCTTTCCATTTATTAATTGAATCTCCCACAGCAAATATTGAATTTTAATTGAATTCAATTTTAATTGAATCTCCTACAGCAAATATTGAAGAATATCTTTAACACTTTTACTTTCTGTGTGCATCATTTTATTTTAATATAGTCTCAGAAAATTGAAATGTCAATGATTTTTATTATTTGATCTTATCTATGGTAGGTTAATTGAGCACATATGTTAAAGAATTCCATTTATGTTTGGGTTCAACACCACAAGAACTAATTCAATTTTCATCTCCTAAAATGAAGGCTGCTCTGGGCAAAACGTTCTCTTCACAAGGTTTATCAAACATTAAACACAGGTTCTTTCCTTTGCATTCAAGGGGATGTGCTTACAAAAGAAAGAGAAGCTACTTTACTTTCTTCTCTTCGCTTCAATTTTCTGGCTATTTGAAAGAATGCCTCGGACTCTATTTTTTCCTACGCTATAGTATCTTCATGGACTACACTGGCCTTGTGTAAGGCCACAATTTAGGACACACGGTCAGGTTCTGAAGTCAGAAGACAAAAGGGAAGGGCCTTCACTTTTGCTTTGATGTGGAGCCCATGTAACAATGGTAACAACGGACCGCCTACTGGAGGAATTCTGAGTTCCCACTCACTCGGCGACCTTGAACACCTTTTCTCATGATCTTTACAAAATCATGTCAATATGTTTTATGGGCTTTACAATTTTTCATTGACAATGTTGCCTGGTGCACTTCCTCTAAACCATGCCTCTGATTATAAGGAGCAGAAAGTTTGAAATCAGAATTGTTTGAGGAAAATCTAGATATGGTCACCAGAGAAGTAGGCAAAGTAGCTGCAAATGGGTATATTTTACTGTCATGACTTAGAGAAAATGGGGCGTAGAATTTCCATGACCTCCTTCAGCAGCCATGCTCCTTCCTTAGAGGATAATGACACCCATTCCATTTGGAATTAATATTTACATCCAGGGCAAGGAATTATTAGTGCCATCAGCCTTGGAGCTATAAAATACACACTTGGATCCCTGCTGTTCAATTGGTTCTCTCTGTTACTTTAGACATATCACAACCTTTGCTGAAATGAATTCTCATATGTTACCTCACTTAGTAATTGAGGTTAACTCATATTAGGAATAAAGATATCATAGTATCTACCTAGTAGGATTATCCTGAGGCTATCTAAGGTAATTTACATGAAGACTAGTATTCGGTAAACAGTCATTAATATTAGCAAATAAGAACCACACTTCTTCCAGGTAGAGAGGATTGAGAGTACACTATCCATGATGAGCACTGAGTATGGTACAGAAGTGTTGCATCACTTTATGGTACACCTGAAGCTAATATAACATTATATGTTCTAGAGGGGAGGGAGGTTGGGGGATGGGTGAGCCTGGTGATGCGTATTAAAGAGGGCATGTCCTGCATGGAGCACTGGGTGTTATATGCAAACAATGAATCATGGATCACCACATCAAAAACTAATGATGTGATGTTTGGTGATTAACATAACATAATAAAAAAAGACAAATAAATAAGAACCATACTTAATAATAGCAAAGATATAGAACTGTGAGATATTTATGATGTCTAATGCATATTTTGGATGGTGTTAAACCACAGGAAAAAGGATTGGTACTTAATTGAGCATGTGGCGGAGAAACATTGGCTTCCCCCACACACACACCCTGTTTTCTAGCAGGGGATTGACCGACAGGAGTTCTACTTTTGAAAGATTGATTTGTCAGCAGTGTGGGGGATGACAAGAAGTGAACTGAAGATGACTCTTGGACTTCACACCTGAATGAAGAGGAGTCTTTGGTACCACTAATAGAAGTAAGACAATATGAATGAGGGCTGGATTTGAAGACTATCATGGATTTGATTTTTAGCATATTGAGAATAAGGTACAAGAATAATATCATTGTTTATGTTAAACTATAAATAATAATATTGTTATTGTTAAAATAGAAATAAAGCTCCTCATGGACTTCATGGGAAATGCGATATTGGAGACACTTATCTGACCTATGCGGATATGACTGATTGGTTTTATTGATCGGGGGCTGCTGTCTGGTATTTTAATAGCTATATTTTTATACTATATAACAGAAGTTCTTTGATCTAAAAATGATAATTTGGGCCTGAAGAAGACACTGTGATGATTTATCTTCCATGAGCTAAATTTTATAGAATGCTAGATGGCAACATTTTCATATAGGACTTAGGCATTTGACAGATTTATGTAGGGTCCACCTTCCTATATTTGGAGTGAGAAATTTTATATTCTGTTTGCTTCTTGTATTCCACAATGGAATTGGGATATTAAATTTCCACTGCTAAAGCACATTGAAAGCTAAAGCACATTAATTATTTAATTTATTTATAAATATTTAAAGTGTTATCCTTTAGGGTGAATTAAGGCCATGAGTGCAAGATTAGTAGGGGGCCCTATAGCCAGACTCTGACGGCACTATAAACAAAATAGGACAAGGCGGGGGTTACTACTAAATGAGAGGGAAAGATACGTAAAGAGAAAGTTGGATTCCCTGAGGATAAATTTGACAAACTTTGTAATTTTCCTTATAATATCCCTGAATAGGGAACATTTACTTTCCATCAAGATGAGATCAGGGGTCAAGGCAACAGACATTGTAAAAGTCAACTAGTTTTTCTTGGCGGATGTACTTTCATTTGAGGGCACTGCCTTCAGGAGGCCAAAAATGTACTTTCAAAAAAATCAGTAAAATACCGAATATACATATATTCTGGTACATTGATTTGTACAGTGGTTGGAGCCAAGAATATAGGGCCCTAAGGCACCAAACTCAATTAATTAATCAATGCCACTCAATTCTGTTTGTGGATCCCCGCATCTGTTCTTGGGGATGAGCCTGCAGGTGGGGAAGGGGAGAAAGTGACCCCAGCAACATGGAAACACCAGGCAGCCTGTGGTGCTCAGGCTCCTGCCTGTCTTCAGTTCCCCCGGAGGCTGCTGAAGTTTCTTCTCTGAAAGGCCACAACAAAGACCAATCATTATTTTTATATTTTCTTAACAGTGTGAGATGCTCTGATCTCTGTCAACAGGATGTCAAATCCAGTGACTTACTGGCACATTTTTTGTTTTTTGCATTTTATCCGAAGCCAAAGCAATTTCTATAGCTTTCAAGAACTGAAGAAGATAGAAAAGGGTGAAGTATAGAAATCCTGAGAAACCTTTTGCATTGAAACCTAAGTTTTAATCACAGAAGCCACACCACCAATAAACATACAGGAAGCTCCTGACCACAGACCTGGAGGCCACTATAAGGCCAAGGATGAAATGGAGGGGCCACTAGTTCTATCGGGGAATTTAACTGAGGAGAAGGGGAAGAAGCAATAGTTTAGCCCTCCTGGCACAACCTACTTAAGGGATTTAGGCCACCTAATTATCTTCCTTCCTTCTAAAAACGGTCCTTCTAAATTCTAGAAAGCCACCAAAACTGTCTAAAAGTTTAATGATTATTATAGCTAACATATTCACTTTAAGCAAAATTTATGATGTGGTATAATTGTATTTTGTGAGTTATATTTTGTAGAACATTAGTACCCCTTGTATAATACTTGCATGCCTCTTAAAACTATGAGCTTTGGTTTTTACATTTTAAGTTATTATCCTGGCTCATAGCTAGGGTTCTTTATAGTGATGAATATTTCTTTGGTTGTGTCTGAATTTGTGATGCCAGATCCTTGGCTGGGAATGCACTAAGTACACTTTTATTAATGTGGGAAATAAAATCTATTTTGAGATAACACACTTTATACTACTTCTAGCAATGCTGAAGAACATAAGGGGCTTGATGATATACAATTTAGAATAAATAATTACTTTGTCCTTCCCTCTCCAAAAAATTGCATTCCCAATTATTTGTTTGACAAGGTAATATGTATTGGTAAATGGAGATTTTACATAAATGTCCTTTTTTTTTAGTGTGTCACAAAACAACTAGTTGAAAAAGGGAAAAATTCACTTAGTTATTGGGTTCATATAGTATGAAGCATGAACAAATCTTTATTGGTAGTAACTTCTTACTATCTTGCCAACCTAATATGTCTGTTCAAAGAGAGAATAAAAAGCAAAAACCTGTCTTCCTGTACTAATGCTTTTTCCTTGGCCAGTCCCTGCATCTCTGATGTCTGTCTCATCACTCATAGTTGTAAAGAAGGGAGCATCTTCCGAATCCATACATTATAGTCAGAGGGCTAAGGCAACTGTGTTGAGCTGTGGGAACACTCGAGGAGAGGACATTAACTCTATTGATGAATATCACAATAGTGCTGTGAAACATGCTTTGGAGATGAGGACCTGCTTCATCATCGGTTGCTTATTAGAGACAGAAATAAGTTTCTCAAGGCTGCAAAATCTGGATACAATTCTGATCTTCTCAGGCTACAGTTTCTCATGGCTTTAGAAGGTACGCTTAAAGTAGCTACACCAAGAGTTGGGGATGTTTAAAGGATGGTACAGATATCT